AAAAAACGGAATGCCGAAGGAATTAACATGGAGAGCACAACTTTTTCAAACATCGCACTGAATAAAACTATCTCGTAAAACACGCACACAGTGGTATTACTAACTTAGCAATCAGGACCATGTGCAAAAAAAGAGGGTGTCAGGTAACGCTTTTACCAAAATGAACCTCCCCCTGAACACATGAATATGGTACGACCATGAAAACACAGAGTGCTGGATTTTCTAACCAAGGAATTATTCGGACATTGAGAGTACCATTTGATGACGCCTTAAAATAAAGCACCAAGAAATGTTTATTGAGTTTATTCAACCCCGTGACAGGCACGAGCAAGAGAAAACAAGCTAGAGAAAAAGCTGCATGTCACAGCTTGACTGGCCCATTCACCGAGAATCAGTCTAAAATACAAAGTTTCAAAAGCTTACGGTCACAAAAAAGCCAAAATACCAAAAACAACATGAATGTGTCCCATGAGAACAGATGATAAAATAGCTATGAAATGCAAAAAAAGCCAGTCTACCTGATTTTAAAGAACAAAGCTTTCATAGATGGATTATCAATAGGAAGAATGTCAGGCAGACTTCTAGTGCTCTGTAACACTTGATGATACGTTTTAAATTTCTTTTCAAAAATCAGCCTCCAACATACCATCTGCTCTAGCAAACTTTGTATAGTATACACCTTATTTCTTAATGACCATAGATTGCATTAACGAGGCACAGATACTATCCTACTTGATCGTGTAGTTTTGGTGACCTGATTTATCTGCTTCTTGCATAGCGATGTACTAATACTAGAGTGTACTGTAGTGGTCTCGGAGTCGATCGGAGAAATAAAGCAAGCACACACTGTTGAAGTGTGCTTTAATTACTTATCAAAACTATCCTCAAACGCAAATATTTATTTTCATTACACGGGCTACAAATAGTTGCGCTAGATGAAAGGAAGGAGCAAGGGCTTGACACATGAAAAGCAAATACAAAATATTGCTAAGGAATATATAGCTGCATGAAAGTACCTTCAAAGTAATTTTGAGCATACTAAGACAAAATAAATTGCTGGAGCACAGCATCGTGCTCTGGGATTTTTATGAAACAAATGTAGGAGTATAAGAAGCACCTAAAAATGCAATCACAGTTCTACTTCTGGTGAACGTTGCTGCACACTTCCCTAATACCAGGTGCTTGATGTAATGACATCCTACTGAGGAATGTTTTTTTTTAACTGGACAGAATATTGCTCATGATAAAACACACTTTTAGGTGACTGATTTGGCACTCCGTTTGTCGTTCAAACAAACGCTCAACGTTATCGGTGCGCATTGTGCATTTTCAGGTTTAACTTCGTGTCGTTCGGTCAACGCAACCACGACGCCATCGGTGCATGAAAGTTGTTGTAAAGGAAAATAAAAGTGACTCTTCTCTTGCAGCAAGGTAGAAAATTCTGTTTCACAACAGTGTGAATTCATTTACTGTTTGATGCATGAGCATTTTCTTTTTTTTTTTTTTCATTCATGTCACCTTCACTTGGAGCTGGACTACAATCGGAGCCTTCAGGTCAGCCAAAACGCCTTTCAAACGCCCTGCCTTGAGGCAGCGCGTTCACCATGTTACCTTGTGGCAAATCAAAAGAGCTTTTCTTAGTAGGCAGAAGAGTGACTGCTGTTAGCAAGAAAATAGTTACTATTGTTACATAAAGTTGCTTACTATCGACGTTTCGCGAAGTCCCATCCCTTTGACGGAAGCACAAAAAAAGTATTGCTCCTTTAATGGTCTGAAGTGTCAGCTTGAAATCGTTTCGAGCAACTTCCCCCCACATGCGCAGATTCTCAAATGGATTGGCTACGACGGCATCTCAGAGGAGGCACGAATCCTTGTGTTTCCTAAAGTGCCGTCAATGCTTGCGTGTTTGCCGGACAATCACTGCGTTTCCCAAGCAGCATGAACTCGCGGCACAAAAGGCTGCCATTGTGGTTCTTTATCCTCGCGTCACGTAATAATACAGTGTCTAGAAATATACTGCCTAGTGTGCTGAGTGCACGCATTCCGTACGAGAGAGGGTGGCCGCGCATGTGAAGACTACACTCATATGCCGCAAGCCGCGCTGCGTGTCGAAAGGGTGCACGAACGCGCGAAATTCCTCTCGTCCTGTTGCTGCCAGAGCTTCGCCACGTTTAAAATCAGTGTGTGACAGCTGCCATATGATTTACTGTGAATTTCGACGGCACCATATGTACAATATAACGCCCTCAGGTGTTCAACGCCAAGCGGCAATGCAAAGAAAGGACGTGTATTGTGCCGCTCTGTCAAAGAAGTTATCGGTCGAATAAGAAAAAGGCGTCTTGTTCCCCGCGCTAACGGATCCAGCACGGTTTCCTGAATGAAAAAGTATAATCAAGAGGGCAGAAAACAGGCTGAATCCGAAGGCTGTCTGTGAGAAGAGCATTCTGATCATTGAACTATCTTTTCGAATTAGGGTGAACGGTGTTGGAAGTGAAATTGCCCTTTAGGCAAAATTTGAAATTTTTCAAATCTTACTATTTTTCTAAAAGATGAAAATACCCTTTCGAATTTCATTCACACCGTTTTTCTCCTATGTCAACGTCGGACTACTTTTCCAACAACGTCACGAGTATCATATGCGGTGAGTGTCAGATTATTCATTGGCGTGTTATCATTCTTAGTTTTCACTCGAATCCTGATAGAATGCAGGCTAAGAGGTAAAGGTTTTAGAGTCTTCTGTGATAATTCTTTCTCTCAAGAACGAAGAACATATGAAAAAAATTGCCCGCAGCTTCCCTCGGGGGAACACTGAGGAGGATGCGGAGCATATAATTGGTTAACGGGGTGTTAAAGTGCGACTTACTTGGGTCGATGGCTAAATTGGTTAACGTGGTTGTGAAATGGGGTGTTAAATTGCGACTTACTTGGGTCGATGGCTAAATTGGTTAACGTGGTTGTAGGAGGGGGTGTTAAATGAGTGAACACGTACACACGTATGCGAAAGGGCGGCGCTGGTCGAAGGGACGTCGATCATTGTGTTTGTGGATTCGTTGGAATTCATTTCACCGCGACCTTGGACGTCGACGCGCCGTACAGACCAACCGACGAGCGGCAACTGAGCGAGCGAGCGCCGACCTTGAGTATATATACAGCTCGACGGCGCATGCACTGTCAGCTGTTGAATGTTCTCGAAGCGCGACGCCACATGCGCGTCCACTGGAGAATCAGGAGAATTGTAGATGTCGAACGCGGTGTGTAGAGGAGGAAGGGTGCACAGATGGTGGAGGAGTGAACCACGCGCGGTGTGTAGAGGAGGAAGGGATGCACAGATGGTGGAAGAGTGGGCGACGGCGCGACGGCGCATGCGCGCGCGTCAGCTGTCGAATGTTCGAGAAGCGGTGCGGACGGCGCGGACGGCGCGGACGGCGCACTACAAGGCGCGAGTATAAGATGCTTCCGCATCTAAAATAAGTGTGGTGGTTATACTGTCAACGCTCTTTGAAATTAATTTCTTTGCGTACTGCGAACACTTTGAGCATCTATCTATCTATCTATCTATCTATCTGTCTATCTATCTATCTATCTGTCTGTCTGTCTGTCCGTCGTCCGTCCATCTGTCCATCCGTTCGTCAACTGTGCATCCACTCATCCATTAGTCTGTCCGTCCGCCCGTCTGTCCATCTGTTTGTCCGTCCGCCTGTCCATCCGCCCATCCGTCCGTCCGTCTGTCTGTCTGTCCGTCCGTCTGTCTGTCCGTTCGTATGTCCGACCATCTGTCCGTCCATGTGTCTGGCTGTCTGTCTGTCTGTCTGTCTGTCTGTCTGTCTGTGTGACTTTCTGTCTGTCCATCTGTCTGTCCGTCCATCCATCTGTCCGTCTGTCCATCCATCCGTCCGTCCGTCTGTCCGTTTGTCTGCCTGTCCGTCTGTCTGTCTATTTGTCCATTCGTCTGTCCGTCTGTTCGTCTGTCTGCCTGTCCTACCGTCTGTCTGTCTGTCTGTTCATCCGTCTGTCCGCCCGTCTGTCTGTTTGTCCGTCTGTTCATCCATCCATCCGTTTCTCAATCTGTGTCTATCCGTCTATCTGTCCGTCCGTCTGTCTCTCTGTCTATCCGTCCGTCCGTCTGTCTGTGTGCGTGCCTATCTATCTATCTATCTATCTATCTATCTATCTATCTATCTATCTGTCTATCTACCTATCTATCTGTCTGTCTATCTATTTGTTTATCTACTGAATCGCCTACGTCAGGGTGCCCTCACAATCACCCCCTTAACTTAGGATCTTCGAAATATTTTGCAAGAAGAGCCAAATATTCGTGAAACGCCAATGCTGGTTTCCGTGTTGACTATCCAGTTTCTTGGATATATTTAGCGCCACTTCAGAATGTTTCACTTAATAAAAGATTACAAAAGAGTCACCTTGCATGGCTCTGATTCACAACTTACGTGGGATCTGCGTCTTTTTTTTGCGGGCAGTAGCGAATGGCGAAATGTATGCCACGAAATGATCTTTCTTTTGTATTGCAAAACACCAGTACTGTGAAAGCAATCGAGTAGTTCTTATACAATAAAGCATTATGTAAAAAAACACTCCGAAAATGCAAGAAAATAATAGTTGTCCTCGTGTGGCTCGGCCTCCTGCAGGCTTCGCAGCGCTTGCGAAGCATAAGGATTGAACGCAAATACGCCAACTTGCACAGCAGCGCACCATGCTGGCGCTGCCGGCAGTCATACGCTGCGGGGCTATCTCCTAGCTCGCGCTCAGCACACTAGGCAGTAGTAATATTGTAGTAATGCTGTAGACACTGTAGTAATACTTCATTCGCTACGACAGTTCACACACACGCTCAACGGCTGACTGTCTAGCGCATGCGCAGTGGCGCAACAACTGAGTGGGTGAGTAGAGCGGGAGGCAAAATACGATTAGCTGAAGGTGCCTAGAAGTTCAGCAACTCCGTCTTTGCAGAGTAACTGACGAAGCAGTACTCTACATATACTTACTTTGTCATAATAGCTAAATGGATCTTCATCGCATCGCAAACCATCAGGTGCGACCATCCGTTCCATGCGCGAGTGACCCTTGCAGCAGTGAACGAGGCAATGATACTTCTGTAGAAGACAAAACAGTGAATAAAAAAACAGTTCGCGCATCTTATAAGGCACTGTAAAAACGTAACTTTGATGTAATACGTTCAGTTTTAGGACTGGATACCGCGATCTGAAGTTTTATTGTTTTAATGGCAGTGGGCTTCTTGTGATGTGGCACTTGATTATTGCGAGCAAAAATCATGCAGTGGGGTTACTGTAGAATAATTTTTATATCATGAAAATGCGAAATTCTAGACAGACTTTCCCAAATTACTCTGTGTTTTGTAATCTGCGTTTTTGGCATTCTAACCCCAGGGTTTCTTAAGGACGATTGTGCTAAGTTTGTATAGCCAATGCCCAACTATTGTCCAAATCCTGGCTGCGTCTGCGGTGCTGTTGTTTTGGGAGAAACTTTTATTACAACAGCGCTCTGGGTAGATTATTGCCGGCAGCGCCACCGTCATATTTTGCATGATGTCGAAATCAAAGACATCCCCCAGCACATCATCTGTTTTATCAGTGAGTGAAAACAAGCGAGCGTGGCCGACGAATGCGGCTGAAGCAGAAATGAAACGAGCTGACCTCTCTCGATTGCGTGGAAGGAGCATGCGATAGCACAACTTGGAGTGCTAGGCCGGCTTTCATTTACTGCTCAAGTAGGGGGAAGACGCCTCACCCCTCCTGAAGGAGTATGAAGGAATGCCGAAGAAAGGAGGAGGGCAGTGAATGTGCTTGATCTGTATTGTGAACTGCCAGTAAAAGTTTGCGGTCGTGACTACTGCAGGCGCGCAATCTTGGCAGGCGTCAACAGATGGAACACACACACCTTTAGCTGGTGTGGTTTTACGCGAGGAGCATACACAAAAACCGCTTCTCTCACCGGGGCAGCCGTATAGGGTTACGCGAGGTCGGACCTGAGAGAGTTAGCTAGTAGCCTTGATATCTGGGGTTTAACGTCCCAAAATCACCATATGATTATGAGAGACGCCGTAGTGGAGGGCTCCGGAAATTTCGACCACCTGGGGGTCTTTAACATGCACCCAAATCTGAGTACACGGGCCTAGAACAATTCCGCCTCCATCAGAAATGCAGGCGCCGCAGCCGGGATTCGAACCCGCGACGTGCGGGTCAGCAGCCGAGTACCTTAGCCACTAGACCACCGCGGCGGGAAGCTAGTAGCCTAACTTGGCATTACATTTTGCTGCTATTGTATGGATTGCTTCGCTGTTGCAGTGAAATTTGTTTTTTTTAAATCACAAATTTATTTTTTAGCCTATAGATCTGAACTCAGTGATTATAACCCATTGCAAGCGAGCGCGATTGTGGCTGTCGTTGGTGCGGTCAGATGTGCAATTGTATGTATTATTTACGCATAATTGGTGATCTTTCGATCATGAACTAGCTGCAACCAGCCGTGTTAGAAATGGCAATGGTGACTCGTCGTTTTCCATTGCCCTCCTTCATTGTTGCTTAAATATGAGCCCATCACAGTCACTGTTTATTGTATTGACAGAACTGGAGCGTCTTTAATGTCAAAGAAGGCCTAATCCATGGCATAAAAGGTGGGAGAGTTAGGGGTAGTATTTCTGAATCTATCAGAATAAAGGAAAGGGAGAGCTAAAGAAAAAATAATACCATATTCAAAAAGAGAATATTAATGAGTGGGGCGAATTAAACAGACAGACGCACGAATGGATGGACACACAGACGGACGGACGCACACATGGTTGGACACACGGACGAATGAATAAATGTCTGTCTGTCCATGCGTCCGTCTGTCTGTCTGTGCGTGTGTCCGCCAATACATCCGTCCGTGTGCTTATCCGTCCATGCATGCGTCTGATCACGTTCCAGAATGCAGACGGCGCATGAACCGACGATACGCGAGCTAAGAAAGCCGAGAGCAAGCGTCGTCAACGCGCCCGCCCTTAGGCAGTGGGAGAAGCAGGGTGGCTACTACGACCGACGAGGGAGTAACCCACACCTTAAAGAGCTTCGCCCGTAAAATGTTGGCAGATGCTACGTACAGTGGGACTCGGTAATATGCGAAGCACGAATGAGTAAAGTTGATACGTCACTTTCAAATCACCACAACGTTACAAGGTGGAGGTAAATTATGCCGTACACGACTTCCGTGTCGTGATCATCATGTTTGGATGTGTCTTTTACCTTCGTCAACTATTCACGTCACGTGATGCCTAATTGATAATATGTGAAACGGCTGCGAGCATGCTATGAGCATGGTGTCTTGTCATGATCTTACATGACACGCGTCTCATGATTGTTATGTTTGCACCAGTCATATACCTTCGTCGTCCATTGACAACACGTAACACCAAATTCGCTATATTTAGAGCCAGCGAAATGGCCTCGAGTGCATCACGAAAGACACAATATACTCCAATGTAACGTTGACGCGCGCGCACGCTGGGCAGAGCGACGCTACGTTAGCAAAACGCGGGCACTTTATAGTCTGACGCCAAGCAAGACAGGCGTGACTAGCGTCCGTCGGCGCGGCCTGATGGCAACCAGCGCGAAATGCGACAGGATGAATTTGGCACCAATGCGTTATCCAGACAGCATTGCGCTTGTGGCGACTTTGAATGAATCTATCTATCTATCTATCTATCTATCTATCTATCTATCTATCTATCTATGTATCTATCTATCTATCTATCTATCTATCTATCTATCTATCTATCTATCATCTACCCGCCTACGATTTTTAGCTCTCCTGGCTGTTTCAATAATGGTATCAATACCAAACTTGGTAAGGCGTAACATGACTGTATGAATAACATATCTGACTAAAATAACATGAAAATCATGACACGTATGTCATGAATGTCAGGATTTACGTTTAGTTATTCTTTAGTCTTTATTCTTAATTTATTCTTATATATCCCCGCTTTGCCTCGAGGCCTTACAGTGGGGGATTACAGAGTTCAACAAAATTCATTTTCATCGGCACTGGACACTTGCACAGATGTCAAACACTTCCATTGGTTGATAGTTTTTAGAAAAAAAACGACTTTGCATACAGGTTCGTCCTGGCTCGGCATGGCCTTATTTCGGGTTCATGGTCTATGCATTGAGAAATATAATCTAGCTTTTAAAAGAAAATGTCACCGTCAATTCCATTTTTTAAATAAAATATCTGGCATAAAGACAGATTTTTACGATGGGACGACAGCAACTCCCCGTTTAACTCCTTTTTCATTTCGGTTCAACTGTGATTTTTTCCCTACCGACCCAAGACAAACCTGGCCGCTCTGTTTTGAATTATTTCTAGTTTATTAATCAAACCTACTTGTAATAGGTCCCAAAGAGTACAGTCATATTCTAAAATTGGTCGAATACAGGTGAGGTAAGCCGTGCTTATAGGACTAGAATCTGCACATCTCAAATTCCAGTGGGTATTGTTCGATTCTACTGTGGCTTTGGAAAGCACATGATCTACATGCGCATTCTAGGAACAATCATGCGACAGTAACACTCCCAAATATTGGTACTTGTATATTTTGTTTAAACTATTTTCACCTAAATGATAATCTGCATCAATAATTCTTTTTTTCTTTGTAAAGCACACATGGATGCACTTATTCGTGTTTAAATTCATTTGCCATTTAAGACACCATTGATGAATACGTTGAAGATCAGCCTGTAATTCAAATACATCAAGGTCATTATGGATTTCCCTGTAAACAACGCAATCATCAGCAATGAGCCATATACTTGAGCTTATCCTTACGTTAATGTCATTGATAAATATTATGAATAGCAAAGGCTTCAACACAGATCCCTGTGGGACGCCTGACGTGACCTCAAGCAAATCTGACATAATTCCATTCGAAACAACACATCGTGGCGTTGTGCCAAGTAATTCTCGGTCCAAATAAGAATTCGTTCATGTATGTTGAGTTATCGTAATTTTTAAAGAGCGGAGATTAGGAAACAGTGTCGAAGGCTTTGCTCAAGTCTAAAAAGATGCAGTCTGTTTGCCCACCTAAATCAATTCCAGATACTAGGTCGTTATAAAACTCTAGAAGCTGGGTCGTACATGAAAAGCTTTTACGAAAACCATGTTGAGCCTTTGCTATACGGAGCCTAAGGACCCGATAGTAGCAGAAGCTAGTTGCTAGAACAGCCAAAAAAGTGCAATGTGAAGTTCTATGCCTGCTATAACTGTGTTTGACCGGTCTCTTCTTAAGAGGGCCACTTCACCTCCGACCCAGATGATCGAATGGTAGTTTTTGACTGACTTTCAGGAGAGCAGTTTAGGCTGATAGCATGTACGTGCTGGTAAAAAGTCAAGCAATGACTGGCTTTCACAAACAAATAAACGCCATGCTTCCGAAAGAAACACTTAATTTTAACAGCGAATTTTAACGCCATTTTTGAAAAAAGTATTCATAGAACACGCCAAGAGAGAGAATAAAGTGGTATCTATTACTCACACAGAAGAAAAATTGTAGAACGATTCAACCTATTAGACGCATATACTCTAAGGAATGGGGAAGCTTTTTAACATAGCTGGCCGCGTAAGAACACTCAAGCTCACCTAGACCGAGTGTATGTGACCCCATCTCTGTGGTCAGTGGTTGTAGACTGCCAGGCGGTTAACCCTCGCTCATACGCTTTGGTTTATCCGACTACAGGTCGGCGGTAGTGTCTCTCGAAGCTCAATTCTGGTCGCCTTACCGCTACCCGTAGCGAGTATTCAATATACTCCTTAACGATGAGACGGCGAGGGCCAGTTTACGCAACCGTTTGGCAGCCCCCTTCGACAACCGTAGTTAGGACGCTCTCAAGCAGGCGTGACGCGAAATCTGTATCATCGAGGGCAAAAAGTTGAAACACTGGTACTCTTTTCTTGTGAGAGCAACGCTGCAGCGCATCCGGATAGTCGAAAGAGTGGAACGCACCTGTATTCTTATGAACGCCCCATGCTAATGAACTAAGATTGGCACGACTAAAAACGCTGACATTCACCGTGGCTTGCTGCTGCCAGGCCGCGGTGG